AAGTTAATTCAGGCAAGTTGAAGAAGAAACGAGTCCTCCGCTTGAATACTACTTCTTATATTTGATTCAGGTTGGATTCGCGTTGGTCGATGAAAAAGGAGATCTCCCACCAACAGGAGACGTGTGGCAGTTTAATTTCCACTTTTCGCTTTCGGACGATATGTATTCACAGGAGAGTGTTGAAATGCTCAGAGCGGCTGGAATCGATTTTACTCGTTTGCAGGTTTGCATCGATCGTTTATTATTGGGATATTTCGTTCGTGTTATTCCAGCTCAAACTTTAGAATGAGGGGATTTCTATGGATATTTTTGGCGAGTTGCTGACAACGTCAGGCTTGATTGTGGACGATCGGATAACATGGCTGACCTTTTCGTCTGGGTACGACTTTGGGTATCTCTTGAAGTCAATAACCCTTGGTGAACTTCCGAAAGAGGTACTAATAACAATTTACTCATGATCACTGGCAAAATAGCTACTTAGTCGAACTTATAGGAATCACAGTTCTTTCAATTCCACCGAGCACTGTTTCCCCGCTGTTATGACATTAAACTCATGCTACGGATGCCTGGGTCATTCAATACCAAACTCAAAGGAGGTCTACAAGAGGTGCCTAAATTTTGCTGTTCTCTTAGGCTTCGTTCATACTTTGCGTCACCCTACACCAGCTCCAGCGATTAGAAAAGAAGTGATATCGATCTAGCAAACGCCAGCGTCCACCAGCGTATGCCAACGAACGCCAGCGTGTCGAGGGACAAGGATTGAATAGGTATCGATCTGCGAACGCCAGCGTACAGCAGCGTTTTTGCGGGCCTTTTTGAAATTGAGCAACCCCTGGAAGACGCCGGTGAACACTGTCGTTCACAAATCGACACCTATTCTTTCCTTGTATCTCGAGACGCTGGCATACACTTGTGTATGCTGGCGTACGCTGACGCAAAGTATGAACGCAGCAGTAGTGCGTGTCTGTTCATCTCCACGAATCCTAATTGTACCTCGTTGTAGTGTCCAACTTCTCTCTTCGTAAAACCTCGGCATTATTGTTACGTTTGATAAGTTGTTCTGTGCACACGAGGTTGGTAGGTGGAACTTTTATTATGGCCTAGGCCATAATAAAAGTTACACCTACCAACCTCGTGTGCACAGAACAACTTATCAAATGTACCTCGTTGATTTTTTCCTCTTGATTTGTCCAGATCTTTACTAGTTGCTGAGAGCTCTATCCTAGGTGGCAGATCAGTTGGATGTAAAACGGCATGGAATGCGTCATCAAGCTGGATCCGATGCTCTACTCACCGCGAAAACGTTCTTCAAAATTAAGCAGCAGTTTTTCAACGATAACTGGGACAAGGCTAGTTTAACGTTTTTGTATTTTCCTTCCTATTGCTATTGCCAGTGTTGCAATTTGCAATGAAAGACCACTTTTCCGTACTTCCTGGCCCCTCTACCAGGAGTGCATACCACGCAGAACATTGGAGCAGCTTCAGTGCCCGGGATAGTAGGTCAAAATGGTCTTCGCAAGGCAGGTTCAAGCAACTAGAAACCATGCCAGCATTAGGGCATGGGATCTTAGCCTATTTTGACTTACTATTCCGGGTGCTAAAGCTGCTCCAATGTTGAGTAAGTGTACGCCTGATTTGAAGGAAGAAGTGTTCGAGACTTTGTTGGTTAATAAGAGAGAAACACGTAAATGGGGGGGGGGGTTGCAAAGTCCTGTAAACATGCTAGGCAGATTTGAAATGCCCCTTGAACTACTGGGAAGCTACAAACTGGTAAGTATTAGTCCCTTGAGACCATAGTATCTAGAAATAGCAATAGTACATGGGAAAGGTAGGATACATTGTGTAAAGATACATGGATGATTGAGTGGGACAAACGCTGGAGAAGAAGAAGAAAGATCGAGGGTGCAGTGTGCACTGAGAGTACCTTTCGAGTATTCGTGGTCTCTCCTTCGCGGCACAGGTGAAAATTAAGAATAAGTGGAGTTCCGCTAAAAATGATTTATTTTGCTCGGGATTTATGCAGACGTTTTGTTCCGGCGTGTTTTATAAGGCAGCTTTGAATCTGCTTTGTGTAGTTCCAAACCATCAAGTTGGGAAAGATAACGATGCAGTGTTTCGCGTTTTTTATTGCTCCAGTTTGTCAACTATTTCCATAAATTTAGGTATCACGATTGGTCCAGGGCCATCTATTCGGACTAGGTTCTTCATTATCGCTCTCTCAATCAGCTCACAAATTAGATGAATTGGATAAGGAAAAGGAAGTCGTAGCAGTCAATTGATGTCTTCTTTCTTCTCTGATTATCACTTAAAAGACATTCGTTGTTATTTACTTTTTTTCATTGCTCTCTCTCTCTCTCAAGATTTCTACAGTTCATTCAGACTGTTTAGTAACGAAAGTTATGAATGTGCAATAGTGGTTTCTCGATCCCTTCCTTGGTCTTGATCACCAGCTGTATGTATGTATATTTTTGGAATCTCCCAATCGCCACATGAGGAGGCGATAAGCGTTCGAAGATTCTTTCATCGCATTTTTTGTTGGGTCAAACGAACGCTCCCGGTTATGTGTAGATCTTTGGTACCGTATTTTTGGAAATTCGATCCAGAAGCGGAGAAAATGAGCTGACTTTTTGTTGAAGTTGGTTTTTGAGTGTCATCTGAGGCATTAATCTCGAAATGAACTGTTTAAAAGTGACTTCATTGTGATCTGTTCCCTGTAGTGGCGAGTCTTTTACCAAAAGGATTTCGAATCATATTGATTTAATCCTGTTGTGGTTGTGCTGCCTCAATCATTTTTTTAAGAAAGTAAAGATTCATGTTTTATTTTGTGGTCTTGTCGTTTCAGTTGAAAACAGCCAATATCTTTTCTTTTACGTAGCTTGCAGTATTACGGTAGTTCCTACCCATTCCTCGTGAGTGCGAGAGCAGCGTATACCGCGGAGATGTTGCAGGTGAGAAACATTGGATGAGATCAGAAGATACGATAAGGAAAAACAATATTCTTTTCAAACCCTGATTTATTGCCCTTTTGTAGCTCTTTAGGAATATTTATTTCGTTGTCCATTCTAACGCAAACAAACCTGTGCTTGATTTACTATTGGAAATGAGGGGATAATAACTTAAGACTGATGTAGAGGTTTCCTTGTTTAATGCTTTGTTCCTGACTGTAGACGTCATTCGTGTACGGATCTGTCTGTCCACCGCTCTTTCATCCTCCATTCTTGTGACTGTTACAGTAAAATTCACCACCATCACCTACTGCAGGGTCGCAAACGCACACGCGACCGCGCGTGAAGACCGCGTTCACAGATTTCGCGATCGGGTCGCTCGAGCGATTAGATAGCGCGACTACGACCGGAGGCGCTTCACCGCCATACTATGCACCGCCGCAACGAAACAATACGAATTTGTATCAACGCGACCCATTTTTAATGCCGCCGTTGGTGCGGTGCACCGCTCGTTGGTGGAGCGCCTTCGGTCGTGGTCGCGCGATCCAATCGAGCGATCATCGCGAAGTCTGAACACTTTCGAATCCTGGCCCCAGCAACTTTTTCTAGTATTCTTTTCACGTGAACCAGTCTTCCAAGTGTTTTCAAACGCTCTCTATTCAATATAGATAATTCATATAAATGAGAACAGCCAAAAAACCCGAATGAGCGTCATAGCATCATTCACGGCGTTTGTGGTGCGCCTTATATTGTAGAAAGTAGAGTAATACTCCTGCTGTTTTTGTATGGTCTCATGATTAATCCGCTGCTAGTTTATTCCTTATGCGATTTACCGTCTTTCATCCTAGCTCTCAAAAGTTTCAGATATGCCATCGAACAGTCAGAGGAAGCACACAATTTCTAACAAAGTACGAAAAAGACCAGGTAAAGACATCGACCAAATACATGAGGACCTCAAGCCGAACAAAGCTGCGAAACTACTTAATCAAGAGGTAAGAAATGGATGACAGTAGACAGACTAAAACATTAAAAAAAACTACCCAGTTGTACAACATTATTTCGGTTTCCCTGTTGTCGTGGGAAGTAAGTAGGAAGGGGTGAGGTTCGCAAGAACCAATATTCCATGCTTTTAGCTAAATATACAGTGCTGCGTGGAAAGTCTGGAAATAAGGCCGCTGTTAAATTAGAGACACTTCGAAGAACTTGATCAATCCGCGTAAATCGGAGGAAATGGAGGCGAAAAACGGCGCATAATAAATTAGGACTCTTAGGATTGCGTCGTTCCACCACCACCACTCCCCCCCCCCCCCCTGTGGCATTTTGGGAGAAATGGCGGCGCTGCGGAACCTGCACATTTCGCAGATTTTTTGTTTACGAACCCAAGCCTAAGCTCATTTGAACACTTAATGACTTGCGGTCGACTCGTGACCTTGTTCTTTACTGTTTGTACCACTTTGTAGCGGGGTCTGCTCTTCTGGTGACGACACTTCTGCCACTTGAATACCTGGTCGGGATGAGAGTTATTCAAGTCCGTATGCAGCACTGCAGCATATTCAAGCCATGTCGAACCAAGTTGTTTGGGATGCTGTAGACCTCTTTGTTGTAATCCGAGCTGAAGATCGACTTGTGGGCGTGTCGTTGACACCATGTCACCGTGACAGCCTTGGCGCGAAGTAGATGACCATATCATCATTTTGTTATGCCAACATGCAGAATCTTTTTCGTATGTCATCGTTGCAGATGCGATCCTTGCGCATTAGCACAACACACTCCATCACAATGAAGTATGCTTCAAATTCTTTACACGTGAGCTAGCGTTAAGCGTTCGCATAACGAGAACGGTAGTTCTGTGGATTTTCGACTTAGGGCGCATTGTTATTGTGACGCAATAGAGAACAGTCAGAAGTGCTATTTATAGCAAACTATATTTATGTGCGAATCCATTTCTGAGATCAAACAGCCAAAAGATATTTGTTGGTCCGAGATACTAGCCCGTTTTTGCATTTCAATTCCGCTTATCTTAACAGAGCAAGATGCAAGGTCTGTCAGTCGGTATTCACATAGTAACGAGAGAGAAGCGACACGGCGGTTGTGCGAAAAGCAAAAAATACGGATGGATCGGAGAATCGCCAACCGCTAGTTTCGCCGAACCGCCGCGGTTCGGCGGTTGGGCGAAAAGCAATAGATGCGTATCGATTTCGCTGGCGAAAAACGCCAGGGCGATCGAGCTAGCGTTTCGCGAAGGCGAAAAACGTCGCGGTTTGGCGAAACGCCCGTCGATTCGTATCAAAACCCTTTCGCCCAACCGCCAGACTCTTCGCCCAACCGCCAGTCGATACGTATCGAAAGCTTTTCGCCGAAGCGTTTCTTTCTAGAGAAACGCTGGGCCGGGACTGTGAACAATGCCCATAAGTATTGCGGCTCATCTGCAACGGCAGTGCTTAGCCAAATGAACTGTGTAGAGAACGTATTTTCTTTTAGGCTCTTATCATTGAAGGGTACGAAGATAAGCCGAGGTAGGACCAACCTGTACCGTCAACGTTTTCGCCGTTGTATAGTACCGAAAGAAACTAAAGCTGTCGCACTGCAGCAGGTGGAACAACCGAAACGGGAGCCGCTATCTGCTCCGGTGCCTTCTAGCAGCTTCCAGTAGCTTTTTTACACATTAGGGCAATAACCTAAAGGACAGAAGTGCTTCTGCATACAGGTAGTCCAGTCCGCAGTCTTAGAGGTTCTCTCACTTCGCCAGCGAGTGAGCGACGAGGGCGCTGTGGCAATCACAAGTCAATGTTCTTAACCGTCTGAGTTCGAGAGCGGTTCGTTATCTGTAGATGTCTTTCAGCTCTATTTCCTGTTCATCGCTTGTCTCTCGTCTGTTCTCTCGCTCGAGCAACAGTATCGCATCATCGAGTACAACCCCAGGGTCCTATTAAAGGCCTCTCTGAAGGTTTTGCTCCACAATTTTCCTCGCACTTGAATTAACTGTTAACCGAGAAATTATTTTTTTGCCTCAAAGTCGACGAATTGGGATCGCGAGAGCTTTACTCAAAGTTTATGTAGGAATTATTCACCAGTCATGAATGTATCGCTAGAGACTCAATTTTTAAACTTTCGGTGGTATCAATTTGCCCTCTTGTACAACAATGAACAGCTTCTCTGAACACCCTATCTCGACCTGCTCTATGTTGCATTACCTTTTCGAATGCTGTGTTCATAAACAGTATACTGCTTTTTTTTTCCGGGGAAACAGTCTATCCCGTAAGTTTTTATGACTTTCCACCACTCCGCAACAAAAATCGGATTTGTGCGGCCGTGCATTATACAGATTCCGTTTCGGATTGATTTGGATCTTCGGGAGATGGACAGTTTTACTGCATCGAGTGTGAGCGCTATTTCGTAGACGAGAAGACAAGGACGGATCACCGGAAATCGAAGGTCGATGAATAGTTATTGACAGGCTGTTTACTTGACCCAAATGTGTCGTGTACTGTGTTTAGCCCCCCCCCCCTATAATATTTTGGTTCCCTCTTATTACGTATGGGCCGAGAGCAGCGGCTCAGCGGACCTAAAACACCAATTATCGACCTTCTTGTCCTTGTTTGGTCTCCGCTTCCTTACATCATTGTGATTGTAGCACATCTACTGTTGCGATGGAATTCCATTGATGTTTCGAGGAATTTGCGGATGGTGGGGGGGGGCGGGGGGTACGTCCTTGTTTCTTCCAAGTAGTTAAGTGGACGGTGGTATGGCAGCAGTTCGACACGCGTTTGATACAGAAGAGGGAAAGAAACCGTGAAGATAAAGGTTAAGAAGAACCAAACTGATAGTGAGAATAAATCAGGAGGGAGTGTAAGAGAGTCTTTTGATATATTGCCACTGATATGAGTCGTGTTCACAATAACCAATCAGGAGTAAGACAGAAACACAACCGCAATGTTTCTCTCACTACTTTTTTCCTCGAGGTACCCAAACACGATACCTAAATATAACGTATCAATTTCATGATTTTTCCTTAAGCCGCAGCCTTCAGTTTCTTAAGGGCCGTGAATTTAGGGATAAATATTGGTTTTAAGCAACACAAGAATCGTGTCCGATCACTGAAGGATGTTCCGTACTCTATCAAAGAAGCAGAAGCGGCTGCTGGACGTGGACACTATCCTCATATAACTCTCAAAACCGAGGTAGGTTCGATTAATTGATTGCACATAGAGCGCAGTGTTTGTTGAATTTACTCAAAACCTTATAGATAACAGCGCTTCATAGATCAGGGAGGTCTTTGCTAAAAAAATCCTTTCAACTGTTTCCTTTTTCTTTTTTTTGTTTTTAGTTACAGTCTTGTTAGCTATGGATGAAGGGGTAACAACAATTGGTGAAAAACGACTGATACAAACGATATAATATTCTTGTACGCTTCCTCGCCTCAGCGACTAGTGAAAAATGGTTTGGTGACGCGCAGAACCCATCGTGCCGGAGTGCTCCTTCATCCACAACCAGCAAGACTGTTATAGTTCTTCTTGAGGAATTAGGAGCATATGGGTTTATCAGTCTTTTTAATCGAAAAAATTAAACCGTTCTTATCAGCGGTAACAAAAACAGGAATCGTGTGGCGCGAACATGTGCCCTTGCAATCGGACAGCTTTTGGGTGGACTCTGCTTCGCGCGTTGGCTGAAACCCATGATTGTCAACATGAACGTTCATCAAGGTTCATGTTTCCGATCATTCACGTGTTTGTCTTCTCTCAAATTCTCCGCGGCGCACTCTCCACCTTTCCTTGTTCACCGTTTCGCGCCTCCAGTTGTCACTCTCACTCAGATTCTCACTCTCATATTGTTTCATTTTAGAAATAATAGTTGCATATTGTCGTGTGATAGGGCAGTGCACTTCTTGGAAAGGAGCTTTTACGCGCTAACTGATTGCGAATACCTTGTCTCAATCAACACATGAACTGTTTCAGATCTCTAAGGAAGATAGTGTCTCCCCAATGCAGGACAGTGCTGTTGAAGATACGACAACCTGATAACGAGTTTTAGTTTAAAGTTGTTGATGATGTACCATTTTTTCTGTTTTTGTTATCTCTCCGGATGTTTTATTCGCGTTGACTTTTATATTGCCCGCGGTAAAGTTTATCGGCTTTTTTTCATGTCAAGGCTGAGTTATTTGGGTATACATCAACTGATGTGCTTATAATTTGACTCCGACGACTTTAAATTGATTTTTAT